TTAGCAATTCCTGGGTACAGACAATGTTTCTGATAAGCTTGGAAATAGCTGAGACCAGATATTGTTTTCAAGGCTTACCAAGAATTTCTCAGATCATAATCCAGCCTAGAAAGGAGGAGGGGGGAATTTGGTGGCAAAACAGCTTACCACATTCTTGGGGTGTTCAAGATCTCCTTGAAAACACAGCACTATTAAAAAGCACTTTGCTCTCTGGAGCAGAAGCTGCTGTCACCTCACCATAGCTATACACAAAGTCTTTTCATCACTGAGACTCGACCTTCACAGCAGCATCTATGAGGCACCATTAAAAGATAAACAAAACAATCTCCCTCCCACTGGAGAGCTCCTGTTGGCAATGGACCCATAATAAGAGAGACACCAGCACACTGGCACTGGAGTGAGTACTTCTGCATGTAAGCTGGGCCAGTTTTTATTACTGGTGGCACGTGGGAATGTTCAAAACTAATGGAATACAGTCTCCCTTGGTAAATCATTCCCCATCAAACTGGAGCATCCACAAACCTTTGGGTTTTCTTTTCTCTATGTAGTGGGGACCTCCAGAAGGGAGGATGCAGGAGGCTGTACATGTGCTGGTGCTGAGGATCCACAGACCCAACAGAGAGGATGTTGTTTTTGCTTGCAGCTTGTGAAGCAAAGCAAGCCCTCTGAGCAGGTACTGCTATGTCTCCAGGTGTGCAGCCATCAGCCTCAGGCAGGCTGCTGGCTGGCAAGTCATGAATTATTGGTATTCTCACTGCCCTGGGAACAGGTCTTCCTTTTTCTGCAAGTTTGAAGGTAATGGCCCATTCTTTGGATGCAACTGCAGGAAAACATGCTTGCTTGTCCTTTAGCAAGTGGGAATGAGCCATAATGCACTGGAGCTTCACTGCTTTATTTTACTTGTTGCAAAGTGAGACAGACAGCAAAGAAGGAACTCACATCTCAATCCACAGGTCATCTGGGAGGTGAGTTTGGGCTAAAAGAGTCTACCAGGTAGCAGAGGTGGGGGAGGGACACCTCACATCTGGTCCTGAGGGCCCCAAGGACAGGACAGCTCCAGGGACTACTTACCTGCCCAGGGTGTGGGCAAACTAAAGTGAAAGGAGATCATTCACCTGCTCAGATTGCAGGCAGGCTTCTTCTGCAGTGCCCCCTGGTACCACTGATAAGCTCAGACGTGGCACAGGAATGGGTCTGGACAGACACATCCTTTTCAGAGGGTCCCACTTGGCTACATATACTTAGTTACTAACTGCAGGTTTTGATTGTGTAAAAGCCATTACTAATAAAAAGAATCCCAAAACCAACTAACCAACAAAAACACAACAAACTAAAAACTCCACTAGCAGGAGGAAACCCTGCCCTGTGTGGCTGACAAGAATGAGGAACTCACCTGCTCAGTGCTCTTTTAATCATCTCCCTGCTCCCCGTGTATGCACACACACACATATTTTTCAGAAGGATTGCAAAGATCCTCAGCTCCATCAACAGCAGTTCAGCCCAGAGGAAACACCCCAACTAACTTAGCACTCAGATAATGATGTACAGTAAAAATCATTGCTTCTTGTACAGATTTAAATGAAAACTATTGTTAGATGAAAATGCTGAAATTTGTGTTGTGAAGCTCCAGTCTTAGAGAGGCTGCTTCATGTAGCTGTCAGTGGGCAGATACATATCCAATTTTCTTCCATACTCATGTAAAGTACTTTTTAAAGGCAATAAGCAGTGCTTCTATGTTTCTGGTCTGCTTCAAAACTTGAAATTCAAGTTTAGTAAGAGGGGAGGAAAACACAAGTTTTCTCAGTGCTTAACATCCATCCTTAAGGGGAAGGTGACTCATCTTTTCTACGTCAGGCTATGATTTATAAGAGGAACTGCAGGTTACTAAGGATTTCTTTTTCTAGAGTAAAAGGTAATTAAAGCTTTTGAGTGATAATATGAAAATAAATGAACCATCTTAATGCATATAAACAATGATGTGATTTGGTGTTTGGTTCCCAGGAATCCTATCTGCACACAACACTTGTTTATATTGGTATATATATTATATCTTGGTACCAGAACAGGTATGTTATCTCCTTACAAGCTGGCAAATTGCACCTAATCTTTGCTGCATGAATTAATATATTTCTAACTCATTGACATAGTTGTTGGTTTTCCTTCATATCCATCTGCTGTTCAAACAATTGCAGCTGTGAAGCTGAGGCTGGAGCACAGTTTTTCAACCTCCTTCAGCTGTTACTGGGTGTGAGCCTTACCCTGAGAGGCTGCAATGGGTTTCAAAAGTGCTGAGAAGGTGTTCACTATCTGGAAACTTCTTTTGCCTTTTTCAGTGGAAATAGAGAAGCCAGAATGCAGATGAGCAGCTCAGTGTAAGAATATAAGAAAGCACTACACTACCCCAACAGTAGCACAGAAACACAGAATGGTTTGGGTTGGAAGGGACTGTCAACCCCCCTGCCATGGCCAGGACACCTTCCACGACACTGGATTGGTCAGAGCCCCATCCGGCCTGGCCTTAAATACCTCCAAGGATAGGGCAGCCACAGCATCTTTGGGCAACATACTTGTTACCCTGTGTTACAAAAAAAATGCAACAATTTTCCAGTTAATAACAGCTATTTTATGGAACTTAAAAGTTCCATTAGTTATAAGAAATAAAACCACGTCTTAATTCCTACAAATCTACCAATTTTTTTCTCTGAGAGAACAGGGGAAAACTCTGCATTCTTGCCTCCTGCAAGATGCTGTTAGTCATTACAGAGTGGGCTCTTAAGTTATTCAGAATATCTGTATGTGTTGTGCTGTTTTTCTGTGCTTATGGAAGAATGTACCAGTTTGGAGAACAAACAGTACTTTTTCATGTTATATTGAAGATGAAATTCAAATGAGTATTTTTTTCTAAATTCTGTATATACTAAATGTTAAAACTGAACTTACAGAAGAACAGATGAACCTAATTTAGAACTGTCAATAGCCACGTAATATCCTCCTCTTCCATTAATTAATACTAATTCAAAATACTGAATTACCAGCCTAGAGAAAAGGCACCTGCCTTTGGAACTGTTTATAATTCATCATATATTGAAAACTGAGTAAGAAAATAATAAATGTAGGACTAATTGAACAATTAACAGCAGCTACCAGATTCTGTGCCGCTCCAACCTAGAAGATGGACTAGTTTGAAATACAGAGCTGTAGCAGGAATGGAACAAAGTTATTTTGTGCTCTGTTTGCTTGCAAGATGCAAATACAGGCACCCTTTGCAAAAACACCTTGATTATTAAATTCCAGCAATTTTGTGCTTGTCAGCTAAGACACACTTTAGAAAGAAAAGATTTTTTTGGTACAGGTTTCAGAACACTGAATACTAGACTGGTAAGACAATGGGGTACTTAACCCATCATGTTACCATTAATGTATCCTCTTTTTCCATAAAAAATTAAAAACAAGGAGAAACACTTAAGAGCTAGCATTAAAAGACATTTTTAAATGTCTAGCAGTAAAATTTTCTTCCTCTCTCCCTTGTGGTTGCACTGAAGAATTGAAAACATATGGAAAATGACCTTCAATGTGCTACTGTGCAAAATTTCCCACCTGTGCTGTAAAGAGGCACTTGAAAAATACAAGTATCCCCATCAATCCATCACTACAGGGCACATTAATTATTTTTCCTATGATCTAGGTAATTCAGAGTTTGGCTTTGGGTTTTTCTTTTATTTATGTAAGTGCATAAAGGGTAATTGTTTAACTCTGAATATGACCCATATTGATATGAGTATTTTTGAAGGAGCTCTCCCCCTCTGAGCAACCAGAGATTTTTAGCTAATAATTCTAAGTTTGCATATTTAGTAGCAGTTATATGCCAATATCCTCTAACACTTCTGCAAAAAAGGCTGAAATACAAGTTTCAGAGTTATTATGATACAGATGGGAACAGAGGTAACAAGATTAAGCCTTTTGTCTCATAAAAAGCAACTCATTCCAAAGAAATCAAGTACTCACTCTCCTCTTGCAAAACTTCCCATATCTGACTTGAGTCACTTTTTCATTTTCAGGACATGTAACAATTCCTTCAAAATGTACCACACTAAGTCACTAAGTTGACATCCATACAAAGAGTAAAAGCTAAAAGGAGATATTTTAACATTAGTTTTGAATCCCAAGACTGTTGCCTTTTTCCTCCTAACAAAGATAGAAGTTTCACAATTTTGTGTATGTAAGGGGAAAAAAGTTTTAAAATCTTTTGTGCTTAGATTTCAGAGCTAGGAAGAATGTTTGGGTATCTAAAGAGCCTATGGATGTTCTGAAAAGGAGGAAAAAGGCCTAAGTTTGACTTATTTCCAGTCAAAATGGGCCTGGGTAAGGGAAGCTGTCAAAATTTGCATTTACTTGCTATCTTATTCTCTTTCCCCAGGTTGAAACAGAGATAGTTAGAAAATTTTCAAAGCTAGAAGTACCCTGAAGAAAAGATTACTTCATAGATTTTCTGATGGACTCTGGGGCTTCTGCCATGGGCACTGGCAGCACACCTGCAGGTGCCTTTGGCAGTCTCCCTCCCAAACGCAGCTCTGCAGCCATTGCCTCACTGTCCCCAGAAGCTTGCCCTTCTCTATCAGGTTTTCATTGATTGCCCTTCTCCCTGGTCCTGGTGATCACTGACACACAAAGGCAAAATGAATCTAAAGCCAGCTCAGTGGAGGAGTGAGGGAAATAATGGCAGGATGTATCTGTGACGTGCAGCCACAGCAGCCAGAAAAGGTCCGAAGTCACAACAAAAGCAGGGGGAAGCACTATATGCAGACTGCATAGCTACAAAAACTTCACATGGCACACCAGATTTTACTGCTGGCTTCAAAATCATCAAGTGCAACTTCAAGTATCTCACACCAGAGTATTTTAAACATTCTAAATCATACTTTTCAGTGAAAGCTGCTATCAGCACAACACAAACTGGTCACAACATCAAAGCATAATGAACAAATGTTGTACCCATTTAATTCAAGCTTGTACTTCATGTTTATTTGCAAAATACAAGTAATTAAACAAAAATTCTATTTCCATTTCCACTATAGACTTTTAGGGATATTTTCAGTTGCTGTAGCTTGTCCATTACTGGTACCATCTCAATATCAGCCTTGGTATTTGCCTTTCACACACCAGCATGGACTATACCTTAGTGTAACCAATCAGAACAAATAGCAAATTTCATACACAATATTTAATGCAAAGTAGAAGCCTGGGGACTTTGTAAAACCTTGCTGGGGTGTGAAATGTTGTGCCCCTTCAAAAAACAGTGGTCACTATCTTCTGGACAAATAGTGAAACAGTGATTGCTGCACGCAAATATCACTAACAGGTACTGACTCCAAGATCACTTTTCTCTAGAAAACACCAAATAAATACAAGCAATAAATGCAACAAAAGCTGTTGTCAGCTACCTATTCTAAACCATACCTGTGGAAATACAAATGGGCACAAAAAGAATACTTAAAAGAGTAAAGTGCATTTAACATTGAGCAAGTGAATGCATCTAGTGTTGTACCACAGGCAATATATCCATTTTGGACAAAACAGTTTCCATGCAATAAGTCAGCAGTGATCCCCTGCATTAGTTTGTAGTATTAAAGTACTATATATTACTTCACTCATACAGGGCTTAAGGTCAGGATACGGTGTGTACACTTGCAAAACTCAACCAGTGCGCTATATTAGCATACTTTTTGAGCATTGCTACAGCATGGTAGTTTTTTGCTGGTTTTTTTTTTTCTTTTCTCTTAAGAAGCCAAACCTTTTCTAGTGTAAATGCAGTGGACACTGAAAATACCACCAAAATAATATGTGAACACATTATGCAGCTGACAGGAATGGGAAGAAGAAAAAATCAAAAGCAAATTTAATGGCTTTATGCACTGTGCTCCTCCAGTCCTGCTCTATTTTCACGTGTCTCCCTGCAGGTAGGAGTTTAGACATGCAATTCAAGCAAGTGATTGCTTTCAGTTCAAAGACAGGCCATTTACTGCCAAGACGACCCTCTAGAATAGTGCTGAATTCAATTATACTCCCTTGCCTCAAGTTCAGCAACACTTTTTTAAACTCATTGCTTGCCTTCAGCACAATATCTTTGGTTATATCATCCTCCTCTATAGGCTTGCTTCCATTTTTGCTACTGAAAGGCATGCCCACAGTTATTTCAAATTTGTACCGATCAAACATTTTCATGTGGCATTTATGCTTTGTCAAAAACTTCAGACGACACAATTCTTCCTCCTCCAGTGTAACATTTTTGGGATCACAAAGAGGGTAGGTTTCACCATACAAGCATCTCATCCAATCGCCAATAAAAAATGGAAGCATATTTATTGCAGATTCTGCACTGTTGTCGATTTCTGTCACGCGCACGTATTTGAACCGCCCAGTCCATGTCACTCGGTGTCCTTCCAGGTGACTGCACAAAATCTGAGTACGTGCCATGTTAGTCTCCTTCCAGGCCCGGGGTCCACAGAGGAAACCATACTGATTCCATGTCAGTGTGGAGTTGTAAACTTTCATTCCTTCAGATCGATACACATAGAACCAACAGAACAGCACTACAGCTGTAATCCACACCAGGATAAGTTTCACAATCGAGCTTCGAGTGAGAGATTTAACCACTTCAACTACAGAGAAGTTAACCTTTGTCCACCATCGAAAGAGCAAAGGAACAGCACACAAAACCAGGGTCACTACAATTTTCATGAGCTCCAAAGACAAAAACCACTTAATAAAGTGGACAAGACACATCAGTGCAATGCCTACACCCAGCACTGGGAGTGCAAAGAGGAACAGGAAGTAACCGATGGATGCACGAACGAGCCCAATGCCAGAGGACTCCTGCAGAATGACCACAGAGAGTTCACACCACATAAAGCACACCAGATATGGGACCAGGTAGCAGTAGGTGCCTTTAAAATTCCGTAGTTGGGCCATTCTAAAGAAAAGATAGAACAAGTACAAAAACAGAAGGCACGGGATGCTTACATTGATCACAAAGAAATGGCCTACAGGCACTGTAAAGAAGGTTTTACCTAGGAATTTCAAGTAGCCAAAATTCCCAGGTAATACCTGCAGTAGGGATAAGCAACCGGCAGCTATCTCAGTCATTAATGCTCTTCGTGTGTAAGGTTCTGCACACGTGCTTAAACTCATGTAACTTGTCACTGTGAAGAAAACTGAGACAGTAGCTAACTCTGAGCATGGTATACAGTCTTTGCTTGCTATAGGGAAGGAAAAAATAACAAAGAATACTGATAGTAAAAAATAAATGTATGGTTCTAAGTGATTCCATCCGAAGTTCACCTCAGCTTGCTCAACATCTAGGTTTGGTTCAAAACGAAGCAGTAAGTCAGTCAAAGCACGGAAGTTTTCCCAAGCCTTACTGTCCTGAAAAACTTTCAGTGTGCAAATCACCATAGAAATGAAGGACAAATAGAATATGACTAATGGAATAATGAAGGCAAAAAAATCAATTGTCAGATTACTGATGATGAAGAAAAAGATGAGAGCATTGATATGGTGTGTTGGAACAATGGTAGACAGCCAATGCATTCCTGCCTTTGATGCAATATCTATAAGGTATTCTTTAATTTCCATAATGGCATGAAGTGGATATTTTACAACCTGGAAAAAGAGAAAGAAGCATTTTATTAAAGAGCAGTTTTGTATCTTTACATCACAGACATTCTGAGCTGAAGCAGTAGCAGCCAGTTGTCTAACCTCAGCTAACATGGAAAGATTTATATATCAGATCAATGTTGCCAATAAAATAAGATTACTGTGTCTGAGATTATTAGCTCCATTTTGATTAACTCAGTCAGACAAAGCTCAGAGCCAATTTTGATTTCAGGCAAGATGTATTTCATTACCTTTGACACATATAATTAAATGGCTTACTAGTCAAATATTCTGCTCTGCTAACTTCATACTGAAGATAAACTACATGGCTACAGCCCTGCACTAAGTCATTACTTGAGCTCCAAGTACTATACTTTAAAGTGTGTAACTGCCACATTCTACAAGGATTATGCTATACATTCTATATGTATATACATCCATATACACTGCAGGAAGTAGTGATTATGATTCATATACACATACAGGAAGTCTTTACAGCTGTGGTTTTATCTTTAAACAATCCTTCACAAGCATCTAGGGATGCAGCTGTCAAAACCTATTTTGGAAGCAGCAGAAGTATGTTAAATTCAATTACTACACATTTACAGATTCTTTTAACTCCACAACAGTAACTGTAGAGGATCTTAAAATTCTACCTATTTTATGTGGCATTTTCCAACACAGTCACTGGACAACAGAGAAACTGCTGGATTGAACATTCTCCCTATAACCAACCATACACTTTACAAAAGAGCAATTAAAAGGTACTGGATTTTTCAAACACACATTCAGATATTACATAGGGACATTAGATGCTGCAATCAGTCCTCCTTCCCCCTTAAAATAACAGTTTCTATGTTTTCCCAGATCTTTTAATTTTATTAGTTCAAGGGGAAAAGCCAAGAATGTTCCAGCAAATACCTGTGGCACTGTGATGAACTGGGACAACACATGCCCCAGTGATTTGGGCAAAAGCTTCTTTATTTGTGAAGGCATCTCTGTTCTTCATAAACGCATCTCTATCAGACAATTAGCCATGCAAAAGCTTGTCAAGAGACACCTTTCACTCCCCCTTTTTTCCCCACCCCTGCAATATGATAATGGACAAACAAAATTGCAGCAAAAAATGTCAGGTCAGTGGCCACACACCCCCAACTTCACCTAAAATTTATGCCAGTATTGAAGGCATGCACCTTAATTTTCCCTTCTTTCACTGTCTAGAGAAGTATCAGTGTAGATGCAGCAGGGTTCATCTTTTTTCAATTCAGTCATAACAGAACCTTTTCATGCTATGGATAATTTTTCCCACCTGCTTGTACCCGTGTTTGAATTAGAAAGATATGAAGCATATAACATCATTTATAATAAAAATAGGGCAGTGGTGACAGGTACATTTTAATCCTTACTGAAGATATAATGAAGGTAGATTGATCTCTTACAGGGAAAATTGTTGTCACTTTCTTTTAAATACATGACTCATATATACTAAACTTGAAACATATATATGAGGTCAAGTCCAAAACGAAGTTACAGCAACAATTCTTGTACTGATCTATACAGACTAAACATCAGTATTGAGAGAGAAGTTCAAGTCACTCCTGTTTTGTCTGCGATGTTTAAGAGGCCATTCAACATAACCTGTTCCATACTGCCTTTTTACCTTCAGTCGTAGGGGTAACTCTTCAGGACTCTTCCCTGCCAGCTCATCATCTTCTTCTTCCTGCATAATCAGGTTAGATGGGATGATTCCCTTTGCATACTTCTTGGTAATTTCAACAAAGTCATCCAGAGCAATAAATTTTTTAGCTAAAAAGATAAAATGAAAATTTGGAATAAATTTTATCACAACACTGTATTAATTATTAATTGGAATATTAATTTTCTTTCCTGCCAGAAACTAGTCTACAAAAACTGAACTACTGACAACACAGGCTTACCTTGCAACTTGCCCTGAGATCTCTGCTGAAAACTATCTCCTTGTGCCAGCAATATATATAATACTCTACATCCTGTCAGATCAACAGGTAAGTTTATTATACTAATAAATAGCATAACAGAGTGAATGAATGTAGCTTATCTGCAAGTATTCCAAAGAAAAAATAAAAAGACTACTGGAATAGCTCACAGTTTTAAATCATAAACTATTGTATCTGCTTCAGAGAAATATTCAAAAGCTGCCTTGGAAAGAAAGACTTGTACAGAAGCAGTAATGAATTATTTTTATGTCATCAACTGAAACACTGACTTCTGATTTGTCATTTAACAGTTATTTTTCTGAGTTCAGAAGTTACAGACATATAATTATGGTAAATATTAAATTATTATATCTATGAGACTAAATATATATTACTTAGAGTATATGAATTTAATATATACTATGTGGCTATACAAAGGGCCTCCCTGGATCTGTATTAAGTGTCTAAGTGTATCTAAAACAGCTACCAGCAACAAAACAGACCTTGCTCAGTTTACAAAGAGTCAAAATTCATCCCTCTGCCCTGGAAGATTCTTATCCACTCCTGTGAGCATAAGCGAGGCATGAAGTTACTACTGAAAACTCTAGGGAAATAGCAGGACAAAAGATGATTCTTTTGTTTGAGCACTGGTTCAAACTCTTTGCACCCAATTCTCTACATTAGCATGGATTAACTAGTTTCTGTGGCAGACAAGCTTGATGGAGTTTGTAAAGTAGAATAATTAACAGCAATTTAGTTTTTCCATAAACTAAATCAAATTACATTGCTGTATACATGAAAGAATTGAATGACAAAAGTCTGTAAAACAACTCCTACACAGTAAATTTAACTAGTTAGCTGATGCAAAGATATGAAAGCTGGCCTGCTTACTAGTTTGAGATTTTAAAGAGACAGATAACTACTTCATCAAATTCAAAATCAGAGCATTAATGGGTTTGGGCCCAGAAGATTTTTAATTTAAACATGCTACATTTATAGAAGCAACACATAAATAGCTCAGTATTTAATACTGAGAACACTGGAGATATAGAGCAAAGTATTTGTCTTAAGATACATACTAGAGGAAAAGGAATGTTAAGAGTTCAACAGAAAATCAGCATTTTACAATCTATCTTTTGGTTTAATCTCACAATATGGATGCTGCCTTTGGCTTGGACTTTTTACCACTCCCCCTCCTCCATGCATGAACCCTTAAGTCCCACAAAATACCATCTGGCATGCCTCCCAAGAAACAAGAAAGGATTTATTTTTGCTAACTATTCCTATTATTCACAGAGTGTAAGGCAACTTTACTTTCATCAAGAAATCTGTGAGACTCTTTAGCTGTCTTGGTGGGCTTCAGACTAAGCCTAACACAAAAGGTGTGATCTAAATTTGCTGCCTTATTGGGAAAAAATATACAGTGCTGGAATAGTCTTATTTGTGTAGAATTGCCAAGCAGACATGTTAGAACCTTACAAAAACACCTTAACAGCACTTTTACAGGATCATGTGACATCCTGAAAAGGAAGGAGTTATTAACTTACTATGTATAGTTGCAATGACACGCACCCTCTCAGGCATGCAACAACTGCCCATTGACAATGTCACCTCTAATTTTCTGTTTATGCCTCCATTAAGGACAACCCAGATCAGGTATCTGCAAACACATATCTAGCTTAAAAATTATCTTCCAAGTATTGCCAATGTACTAACAATGAAAGAAGAATCTCCTTCTGACAAGGTAAATGAAGAAACTCTGAGTCAGAGGAGTAAATGATGGAGAGTAACAGCTTTCTTATTCCTCCATGAAAAGGTAAAAGCTTTATAGAGAAGAGGTAACAGCTTAACTTCTACTTTAAGTGTTTGAAACTTTTCATTTTAAAATGTCATTAGTATTTTGTCACCTTAGTGCCTCTTAAATTGATATAAAAAGCATATTTTGTAGATTCTATTTTATTATTCATAGATTTTTTTTCAGTTTGGTTCTGACAAATTCCCCTGCCTCCCCCCATCCACCCTAGGAAAAGAAAAATATTAACATCCACTTCTGCCTACACTTACGTATGGGTTCATTTACTGCCTTGCTATTTTTTCTGCAATTTAAGGCTTAAAAAAAAAAATCATGTTTGCCAGCTCCTTTTCTGATAGCTCTCTGAATTACTGAAAAATCCAGAACAAAATGACTTGCTGTGCAGTCACTCAGTAGCAGCATAAGCCAGTTCACCTAAAGGGATGGAAAGAACCCCAATGCAACACAGCTCAAATGAACCCAAATACATTTGCATTATGATACAATGACTGGACAATGAAACTCAGTGCTGTCCTTGAAGGACTTTCTAGCTTGCCAGAAGTGGCAGCCAAGTCATAAAAACAGCTGACATAGTCTCACAGAAGGTTTGATTGGACCGCAAGCTTGCTTTCCAAAATATTGTTTCTCACATCCCTTAACCCCTTATTCATACACAGGCATGTGCCCCTGCTCTTCTTTTACTTCTGTCAAAGCTAATGAAAACTAAAATACTCCACTCAGGAATGCTATTTTTCAAGTCACTTGTGTAATGAACAGTCCTTGAAGGTAAAGGCCAAATTTACCTCATGAAATGTAAATCTAATGTTTCAAGGAGTTTAAACCTGCAAACCTCCAGATTTGACTTCCTATTCCATGTATGATATTTTAGTTTCACATAATCTTATCTACAGATGTATTAGTAAATAATATGCTTTTTGACATTTAAAAGTGCTCTTCAAGTACTGATCTACACTGCGCATGAACTGCTCCATACGACTTGGCACATTCCAAGAAACTGAGGCTTTCCTGACAATGAATAATTGAACCTTATGTTAAATACTGTTCTTGTAAAACTACACATGCTGCATTGTAGTGATTGATAATTCATTTTCTTTGGCCATCCTCCTAAAAGCCCAAAAGCACATCAGTGTTTCTTAGTTATGCTAGACAAAGGAAAACTTTAATTTCCAATCCCCACACACCACCAAACCTTACAAAACTCACAGACTTAGGTCTACAAATCTGACCCTGTGTGTGTTAAGGGGTTTAATTCTTTGCAATACATGAACTAAGCTGCTGTAAATCATGAAATAAGTACCTTGGTGCATCTTTCCTAAATCATTCATTGAACAAATATGAAAAGACAAATATTAATTATAAGGGAAGAACAAATGAAAGCAAGTCAAATAGAATGAAGGATCTGCCTGCACTAAATTGGTGCATAATTCATTCCCTCACTGTAATCAGAAAACTTACTGCAGTTAGAACTAAAAAAAAAATATTGAAAATGAAAATCTACTTTGCTGAATAGACTTCTGCGTGCTGAAAGGGCAAGAATATAAAAATACCAAATGACATGCAAACTCCCTTTAGTAGTTGACTGTAATGGTGATGTCTTCTGTGAGGTCACATGCAGATCAGTTATTGGTTTTCCACACAGAATAAACTGACACTGTCTAAACTAAACTAAACTATTGGTTTACTGCAATCCAAACTTTCTATACATTCTTAGTCTGCCAGCACAAAATTGTTTACCAAAGCAAACTAGAAACTAAAACCACTGAAAGCAGCAGCATGCACTCACATTCACTGTTCACTAATCGCTCCAGCATCCTTCTCTGCTTCTGCACAGACTTAGGGACCGGACCAGGCTGCTTCTCACCATCTGTTTCAATAAAAGAAGTGTATGAAAGTCAAAGTAGTCAGTTAAAGTGATCAACCAGTAACTGCAACATCTGAGGAATGGTAACTCCTCAAAATAGGGAGAAGACAAACTTACATAAAAACAGATAGCAAGTGACTATATAGTTTTCTATATTCCTTTTACTGTACTAGAAAAAGAAACAGCTAACATTTAGTTCTATAGTGGCAGAATGTCTTGAAGACTGAATCTGTAAATTGAAACATCTAGTGAGGTATCACCAGGATGACTCTTAGAGGGAAAAAAAAAAATCAAAGCCATAAAATACCTATTTTCCAAGGACAGTGAGTGCTAAATAAAGACATTTTAAATATATGGTCACTTAAACAAGTGTTTAACTGACCCATGACCTACAGCAAGTGTTGGTCCAGAGAGCATAGTTATTAAAAAGGGCTAGTCATTGAGAGAGTTACATTAAGTACAATCTTAAGATTGTACACTTACTATTATCTCATTCCTGATCATAAAGCCCTTTAGGTTTCTAGCTGTACTGTGCCCATAGGTCTGTATTTTATCAGTAATAAATCAGTTCTTGAACAAACCTTCATTGTCAACTTGCCCAACATTCTCCAGCAGTTCAGAAATCTCTAATTGCTTCTTCTTCTTTGGATTTAATTTCCAATACATGACCAAGGCAGCTTTTCGCACAGCTCTCTCCAAGTCAGTTTCAGATGATAACTTTTTCACTTCTTCCTCATTCTCAGAAGTTATGCCTCAAGAAAAGAAAAAATACATTACACACTTATCCCACACCCATGCAGAAACAGATTAGATAGATTTGCTCACAATTTTTGGCAGTTTAGTCTGAAACTTCTCAAGTTTCAGTCACATTCTGACCACCTAAGTAAATTACTCAAATGCCTTCCATGTCCATTGCTTATCAAAATCTAATCACATTGCTTAGGTTTAAATTGTACTTCAAAGCTGTGCAAGACATGCATTATACTATGTCTTGCTTCAGCTTTTGAAGCACAGTGGATCAGGCAAAAGGTAATGCTGACAGGCATGGGTGACATGCAAAGGCACCAAAAACTGAGTAAAAGCTGTTGTTCTTTTTTGCTTTGTTGGGGCTTTTTTCCCTTTGTAAGAGTTCATATTGTTGGTGGGTGAGAAGAGACCATTCCAAGCATGGGAAGTAGCATGGAGGAAGATAAGAATGTTAAAGTGAGAGAAGACAGTGAACAAGACCAATTAGAAGAGAGGTTGGAAAGGGGCAAAAGTATGAAACAGCAGATATGTAGCCGGTGCGTGCTTATTTATGCTCCTCAGAGTCAAAGAAAAGAAGTTTCCATGAAAGGTGAGGATGAGCAGAACACGTGGATTTCACAAAGAAATTCAAGCAAATAACTAACAAAAATGCTTTAATAAGCAGTGTTGGTAATTAGTGCTCTTTAAATTACCTGTTGGAGCAGTCTGTTAGCAACTATTCACGTAATTTTGCCATGATCATTTGAACTTTTCAGAGTTCAAATGAGCACAATATTGTTTCAGATAATGTGGGAATTGGAAGCAGGATGCCTCAGAGAACCCATACCTCTTCTGTCTGCCAGGCATTTACGCAAGAGTTTGACAGCCTCTCTTCGACCTTGCTTAGCAGCAAGGATGAACCAGTCAACTGCACTGCAGTTGTTAAGTTCTTCATCCTCCTCTTCTGCTAATCTCAAGAAGTGCTTCCCCACCTATAATAAACAGGAAACGAAATTCTTTCAATTACTGAAACATACTCCCCTTTGTCTCTATGTCTTTCTTCTTCCCTCCCACCCCATGAAACTCAGCTAAGATAAATTCTCTCTGAACAAAAGGTCAAAACATATGCTCCTAGCACTAAAGAACATAGTTGTAAGCTGATCTGACTGGAAAGATCTGGAAGAACTGGAAGCAAGAAGGAATTGCAACACATTTGGCCAGGTCAGTGAATCAGTTGCCATTGGTGTTCAGGAATCTGACAGAATCAGGTGAAGCTCACAGTGTTAGAAGTTTTCTTGAATTCTTTTCCTCCTACACAACAATGACCAGACAATACTGCTAACTTCATTTTAGAGCCAGAAAAGGAAAATGTAATATAATCTGGTGCCACTGACAATCAGAAATTCAGATGAAGCTATTGACAAGGCCTTGACATGGAAGCAGGCTTCAAGAAGGGCAATCCCTGACTCACACCAGCTCAGTCACTGAAGATCAAAGCAAACTCATGATTATTTGGTGAATGGAATAAAATTAATACTGTTTAAGCATCAAGCAAATTCAGTAAAAAAGCTTATAAAAATTCTCCTATTCAGGATTACAAAAATTACCAAGCAGTTGTCTATGTTACTGTTTTACAGGTAAGAAAAAAACGCCACCTTTTTTCTTCCTTCTAAAAATCAAAATATATGAAAATATACCAGAAATTATATTTATGCAGTAGTATGAAACACTTCTGATTATCACAACACAAGGCAATAAAAAGTTAAATGGCAGAAAATGACCAGAACTACTGGATATTTTATCTGCATACCTTGAGAATCTAGGAAATGTTTTTGCTTGGCTCACTGCACTCTCTTCCTAATGTTACTTCAGCTACATTCCAGAAGTAATTAATGCAATACCTTAATAGCTTTTTATATCCACAGTATTATCTGCTGGAACAAAAAACCCTGTTTGAAAGGTTCTCTGAAACTTTCATTTGTTACTGCCACTAAAGCTGACTAAAGAAATGCTGTTGAAAGATTAATAAATCACATTACCCTTATGTAGATTAAATGCACTGTTATAATCAGAAAGGCCTTTCTTAACCAGTAAAGGGTAATTCTCCAGCCATTTAACTTCATTTATACTTCAGTGAGCACTTCAAGAACTTCCACACAGAGAGTTATTGGGTAGACATTAAATCCATACAGTGAAGCTATCCAAAACCATACAGAGATAAGGAGAAAATTTGACTAGATAACCCAAACACTGATTACAAAGTCATGCTGGAGTTCCATGGGAAGTGCACACCAAGAACAGAGGTTAGAGACAAAAAAAAATAAAATATTTCAGCAATTGCATGGTAAACTATCACTCAACTGCAGATGTACCTACAGCTATTTATTTCAGAAAGGAATTGCTTGAACAAATTACATGGCAAATAACATCCATCTGACAGGATCAGCTGTTTCCTAAGCATGTTTATATTTATAGCCATTGAGATTTTGAGCAAAGCTTAAAGAGTAGCAGCACTTAATCACGCAGCTCTTAAGTTTCTAAGGATCTCTTGGACATAGAAACACATATTGCAACATCAACTAACAGATCATGGGACTAGTCATAGCACAAAAGAGTACTGCACAAGCAAAATGATAGCATAACCTGTTTTATGACTCAATTGCTTTTTGGCTTGTCTGTGGTTTTAACAGCAAAGTTCCTACATCAAACCACCTGAAAATGGCTGCAAAGCTCTGGCCTGTAGCAGTCAAAGGAAGGAAAATGGATAGGAAAAGGTGTTAACCTCAAATCTGTAATTTAACCAGCCTGGGATTCTCTCTTTCCCATGAGCTAGAAGTGTGAAATAAAGCCATATTTGGCAACATCTTAACACAGACCCTCACCCTGTACTTCTCTATAGGCTGTTCCCATCTCTGGCTTTGCTAAGTGGGTTGATCATGTCAAGCAGTCCCCTTGCAGACATCCCCTGTTTAAAGACACAGAACTGCCTTTTCTCCATTACAGAATTCCAGTTGTAGGTGTTTCATTATGTAACTGCCATACAGTTATTTCTTGATTTAAAAGTACATATATTTAAGTTAGAGTAATACATGTTGACAGCCACTCAGAGTGCATTTATTTCCATAGTCATTGCCGAATTATTTTTGAATAAACACAGAGTAATAAAATAACTACAAGCCATTGAACCAGCTGATTTCTAGTGTTTGACTTTGTAATTGTTAACAAACAGCACAAAAATGGCATCTCAGCTTCTTATTCATACTCCTACAAATGTGAGAAATAAAAATACAATTTTGTAATTGATTCTAAAGGAACATATTCAACCATAGAGAAGAAATAAATTTATTTTCAGGATTTAAAACTAAAAGCTGATTCTCTCTCCACAAGTAACAAATGTGACTACATGAAGAAGAAATTACTGTATTTTGGGCTCCATTTCAGGCAGTCAATTCATCCTGCGTGCACACTGAAGCAAAATTGTATGCTGTATCTTTTTATTATAAGAATCCTATTATTTACTGGGAATAGAAAATGTACATAGTTAAAGAGATAAAGGTGGAATTAATAGCAAAGGAGAAAAATCCCCATAATTTTTATACATATGTATGCATCACAGACTTAGTATTTCTGAGTATTCGTACTCAACTGGAAATTATATCCTGAAAGAATATTATGGACTTTGCTTTCTTCTGTGTGGAGGAACAGAGCCAAAAGATGAATTTACAGCAATGATTCCCTCAAGGATAATGTTTCATCCTCCACAAAGCTACCAGCTGTTTCAAAGTGAGGAATTTGTTACTATCTCAGGTTACAACTCCAAGGTCAGCCTGCCCCTCAAACAAGTTGAGATGGAATGGGGAACAAGCACTGCCATTTTTATTTTTTTTTTTGCTAGCTTTGAAAGAATTACTTTCCCATCCCTACCTCTGATTTTTATTTACAATAGGAGTGGTGATTTCCTTGGGGAAAAATCCAAACCACCAATGAGCATGTAGAAGATTGCAACCACTCCTATTTGGCATCAAAGCTGAATTTGGAAAAGAATGCTCAAGTAAAACACTAACCAAGTTTAACACAAATTAAAACCCTTCTATACAATTTTAAGCTATTTATACCACTACACCAAGTGATGGAATGCAGTGGAAAACTTACAATTTTTCTAAAACCTAAGGGAAAACCTGAAGTGCTAACAAATGCAGGACAGAACTGATATTATTAATTCAATTTTATCTGCCATTAAATAAGTAAACACAGCTAATTACAATAAATAAGGGGCTTCTTTTCTAAAATGTGTAATTCAACAAAGAAATGGTATATGAGGAAAATATCAGCAACCAACCTCTGTCCCTGCTAAAGCACCTCAATGGTGTTCAGTTTCCTCCAGAGTCCAGCCTAAGAGCCCTGGTATATTTTTGTACACTGTAGTGCTGAACCAATAGCATTCAGCAGTCCCTATCTGCACAGCTCCACACATGCTTCTTTAAAAAGAAGAAAAACAAAATCAGTTCTGTACCTTTTCCTTGCTAAAGAGTTGGACCTGAAGCCACTCACTCTCAAGGAAGCAGCATTTCTCAATATATTTCTCAATATATGGCATCACCTTTCTTTGAATAGTTTAGCATCTAAACAGACACAGTTCAGCTGAGAAAGAGATAATAATTCTGCAGCAGGCAGTGCTATTTTTGGAATTAAGAGAAAACAAGACCAGACAAAAACCATATAAAATTACCTCTGTTTGTGCTTTTGGGTCTCCAGCTTTGGCCCTCTCAAGCAGTTCTTCAAAGAGCACTTCAGCCTCTTCCTTCATGCCCTCTATAAATTAGATACAGAAAATTATTTACTAGCAACAGTTTAAAGTATTTTAAAAATCATTGCTGTATGTGGTTGAAGAATTAAATGATCATGACTAAAAAATCCAACACAAGGGTTTTGCAAGAACAGTGGGAATTAACTCATTACAATATTGACTCTCCATCTCAGTACTGTACTTCAGCATATTTACCCTTGTTATTTGGTACATGTCACAGGATGCCACAGTTTACAGTTTCTCATTTACTTCCACAAAATTAATTTCTCAATAGAATATTCATTACAATAAATATGTGGAACATGTCAGCTTTTGTACTATTACTATTCTTTTCTTGATATCACTTCAGTCTTTCACCTGCCAATCTCTTTATTTATCACTGAAACCTTTTCTAGGATTTTGAAAAAATAATCAGCCTTTAAAACAGTCTATTTGAAAGCTCAGTCCCTCAGTCTCTGGAGCATACAGAAACTAACAACAATTACACCTGCTAAACCTTGGGTCTTTTTCATTTTACTCCACACTCTACCTTATATTTTTCTTCTTTCTCATCTACTGAACATACAGAGACTTAAACAATTGGTTTTCTTCAAAAGCATCATACTGCTCCACCAGTAAATCCTAAAGAAAAACTCAAGAGCTTTATCTGATATCCAGTGTTTATAAACAACATCATGCTGCATGCTACTTGATGAATAAAGAATTAGTTAATATCAAAGCTGATGAAGGTCAGGACTGCAACTCTTCTATGAGATGACTTCTCATAAATTAGTTAGAAAAAATTTTAAAGAAAAAAACAATACAACTTGTATGTTTTAAGTTGGGTAAGAACAGACAACTGACCACTGACTCAGAGCTACAGCTTTACTAACCAATCAATCTAAAATCATACTTAGAAAGGTAGACCCAAATTCTACACTGAGAGCCAAGGTCTGACACCTATTGACCACATTACCGCACACAAACACCCTGGGACACTTTGTATCTACATCCTGAGGGCAGTGGCAGCATGACAAGTGTGCTTGGGAAGCAGTTTCCAGGTGTAGGAAACTGACTTTAAGGCATCCACTCCAAGTTACAGTGCCTACCTGAGTGGGGCAGCAGCAATGCGAGAAGCTGCTCAGCAGCCCTGCCAGCTGAGGGGCCCAGCACTATCAGCTCTTCTTCAGAAGATGGCAGGAAGGAAGAAATAAACCCCATTCCACATGATCTCCCAAGGAACAGGGTTACTTACATTCCTTAAAATCCCTGGCACTGGGACCATTTTCAAAAAGAACAGGCTACACAAGCCAACACTTTCATTAAAATGGATGTATTTAATAGGAACAAACCATGACGTAAGAGATTTCTTCTCACCATGCCACAGTTTTGTCTGCCAAGTTCCACTTGGAAAAGTTCTAATGCCAGATTATAACATGTTGTCTGGCTAAAAAAGGTACATAATGAAAAATAATTTTAATTTAGTACTTGGTCTTTTCAAAAAGCTGTAGAAATATTATTGTAAAATAGGCAAACAGCATCCCAGCAAAATTAACTACCTAATCTCCTTGCCCTGATATATAACCAACATAATTTAACTCTAAACAACTCAGAAGCCTGTTTTCCAGCTGGCACCATTAACAGCAGCAAACATCATTCAGGGGCTCTCTGCTAACAATAAACAGGAAGTTACAGGGAAAGTGCATATTGTTTCAAAAAAGTGAAGTATTTATCTACCTACCCTACTCAAATGAAACAAGCTGGGCAAGGCAGTACTTCTCCTTTTCCTCCTGTGCTTTCAAATTCATTAAGCCCTTCTGCATCAAAATTAGGAATGCCTTTTGTTTTTTCTGTTCAGGATTTTCTACATGTTGAGAACACCACAGATATTTCTGTGGTGGATAATGCTCTGGATGCTATATAGGAGCATCTGGATGCTCTGGATAATATAGGAGGCACCATTCATAAGTCAGTGTTTATTTAAGGGGAATTTACACACAGAAGAAAAACAACAAACTACAGAAAGCAGTTTGCTAAACTGATAAGAAACCTAATAAGAAAGGCAGTTCTCTGGCAGCTTATATATCAAAGTCTCTTCCTTTCCATCCTTATGTGTGCCTCCACTTGGCACACACAAGAGCATTGCACAGCTCTGACCCCTTTTAGCTCTTCTTGCTCAGGAGAATGTGTTAGATAAGAAAATGCACTTCAATAGGAAACTGAAGAAACAAAATGGGTATATTTTACAACATCAGGTTATAGTTACTTTATTGTATTACACTGCAGATTAACATGTACATAATGGTATTTGCAAAGATGGGGGAAGAAAAAAAGCAAAATTAAAACCATGCAGGCTTATGGTGAACTACCTCCTTCAATGAGAAAAAACAATGGTGTTATTGCAGTAAACTTGTTGAAATGTTTGTGCTAGAAGAGCTGACTGCCAGGGGAAAGAAACACTTTCTGTGGTTATTTTCAACCTACTGCCCAATCCCTCCCACCCAGTTATCAATTCTATGTACTTGCACATGTGATCTATGAATATAAATAACAGATAGTTAATTAAAAATACGCCTGTAGGTTGTTTCTGTAGTTGTAGGGTAAAGGTGGAAGAACAGGTTGTGGAGATAAAATTTAGAGTATCTTAGTATATACAGTTCTTGTAACCAGCAATATTTTTCCTTTGCTTAAAAGATAACCACGAGGATAATTAAACAGGTCAAACATGAAATGACTCATGGCAGCCATTATCAATCTACTTTTTCATAAGGTATATAGGTCAGTCTCTGAAGGTACAAGGTCCAAAACGCAATCAAGGTGTGTTTTGAAACAAGGATGGCCAACACATTCTTTCAATTCAGCTCAACATTGAACAAACAACTACACAGGAGTATACCCATCCCCCATAACAATACCACAAGAATTGATGACTGTAACTTATCACCCTTGTTCTTAAGTGTGTTTTTAGTCAGAAAATATCTTGATGTGTATTCCTCCCACATATGAGTATTGCAATGGAAATGCTGTCAGTGGAAGCTTTTATTTTCCAGCTTTGCTAAAAACTTGTGCCTTTTTAATGTCAAATTTTACTCTGTCTTGAATATAAAAATTTCCAAAAGACAGGAACACTCATCTTGAAATACTTCATGTATCTTTTATGACAATTAAAATAGACTTCTCTAGCTGTTTTGTGTCAAGTGTGTTAATACAAGCCAATGAAGTCTATCAGTTATCCAAGGCTCACAAGCACCACAGTCATTCAAATGCAAGCAGGCAAGAGAAAGTACAGAAGTTTAAGATAGCACCTAGCATTCACTAAAGAAATTAAGACCAGGGGTGCAGAAGTGTGGTTAGTACTTAATATTTGCTGTAGTTCCAACTCCGCCACCAAGAACCTCAAGAATGTGTAAAGCTTAGTTCATCAAACTGCTCTGTAATTCAGTTCCCAACATAGTTAATTCTCCCTTCCCAGAGACAGATCATTCAACAAAATTAGTTAACAGGTATTGTAACAATAATGTTATTAATAAAATTTTAGTGGTTTTGCTTTTTTTATTCTGTGTGATAAAGTCTTAGATTTAAGATATGAAATTACACTGCTTTAATTTTTCCCAGTTTCACCAAAAAAAAAAGAAAAAAAATTATTTGTGATCTGCAAAGTACGATGCAGATGCATTTCTGACTTGGCTGCATTTATGTCGTCATACTTCAGAAAGCATTTAAACTTTTGAAGGCCTACAAAAATATCCGTTTTTGATATATAGGCTTTTCTTTGAACAGGTTAAAGTTGTCTCTAAAAACCCATTTTATGAAAGCATTTTTTTAAAAAACCTCATTACAACAAAACAGGTCATTACATAAAGACCTGTATACATCTCACAGTCATACCGCATTCAGAAGACTAAGCTAAAACTGCCTGTTATTAAGTGATAGACTTCAATGGTAGTGGCCAAACATGACTATAGAGTAATTTCTGTTTTCCTAGTAAAAAGTATGTTTTACACCTCCAGGGAAAATACTCAGAATATAAAAGTCTAAACACAAGTGTTTATGTAGGGAAGTTGCACACAGGCTGATAAAAACTAAACACAGCTACTTACTTTTTGAAGCTTTACACATTACTTGGCACACTGGCCATATAAAGTAGGATTCCAGCTTTGTTGCTATAAGCTCAAATGGGAATTTAGCATTCATTCTGTCACAGGCAGGCACTTTCACTACTTCTGTTAGGTTTTGATCAAAAATAGGTAATATTTAAAAAGGAAACACTTTGGTTTCTCAAATACTTTGCTATGATGCAATTATTGCCCCTTACCTCTGAAATTTAGCCATTAAATTGATAAAAAGGCAGTCAATCCACAGTAGAGGATTAGTCTAAGTGAGATTGTAAGAAACCAATGCTTACAATTTTAAATTATGAAAGAAAAATGCCATTATAGGTTAAAGATTAAATAACATAGCTAAACCTCATCTTTGGACTATACTGAAAACCAAAACCCAACAAACCCTTCAACATTCATACAAGGTTTTGAAGATTGTGAATTTACACAATCTTGGTAAGAAATATGTTAAAAAAAATATGTTCAACTTTAAAGACAAAGTAAACTAGGGTTGTCACAAGATTTCCTTCCCAGTGTTCTAGCACAAATCAGTAATAGATGCAATAGATTCCCAACCCTTTTAATACCCTTAACATACACAACTGAATCACATCATGTGAGCATCACTGTAGTTGGTTGACTTGTTGCAAAGTGTCTGATCACATATTTAGCAAAAATGGTTTACACACGTTTTAGACAAACACTGCTTCCAAAACTTCAGCATTTTAAGTGACATTGTGTATGACACTTCCATTCTGGAATTCTGAAATCTTCAAAGGCACATAATAGTCTTTTCACATAAAGGAAGATTTTTAGTTGTGTATATATGCACACAAAGTGGATCAACATGCACACACCCATCACATAGAACACCCTCAATTTTCTCAGTGCTATTCTAACCACTAGGAATCACTGCCTCCCTTCAA